AAAAAGGATTAAAAAGGGGACCAGGCATCCTGATTAAAAAATGGACTTGCAGCCAAGCCTGATGATGTCAGTTTGATCCTCAAAAATCACATGGTAGAAAGAGAGCAGTGACTGCTGAAAGTTATCCACTGACCTCCACACAGGCACTGTGACAAGTGGAGGGCTATCCAGGATATGAAATGACAGGAACTCAGATATTGCTGGTGTGGATGAAAACGGGTAGCAGTCAGCCACCTTGGAAAATAGTCTGCAATTTCTTACAGAGGTAAGCACAGCCTCATCCTATGCTCTACCAATCATAGTCCCAGGTATATATTCAACTATTTGAATGCTTACATCTACCCCAAACCACACATAATGAATGTTCACAGCACCTGTATTCATAGTTACCAAAAACTCAAAGCAACCAAGATGCCCTCCAGTAGATGAATAGTTAAACTGCAACCTATTCCACTCAGTGCAGCACTGTTAAACAATAAAAATAAATGAGCCGCTGTCCTACAGAAGACATGGGTGACCCTTAAATACATATTGCTAAGTCAAAGAAGCCAGCAGGGTGACGTTACAGGACATCTGGAAAAAGGCAAAACTAAAAAGATGATTAAAGGTCACAATTTTCTGGGGATGGGACAAAGGAGGTGATGGGTGAAACACAGGAAACTTAATATGTCAAAATTATTCAGTATGATGCCATTGGGCTGTAATGATAGATAGGTCAAACCCATGGGACTTTACAGGACAAAAGGTTCATCTTAATGCATGCAATAAAGTAATTTATAAGGTCAAGGGATCCCAAAAAGGAAAGCAGCTTGTGACATAAGAATCTAACTATAGGTGTGTATAGCAATCTCATGAAAGGGGATAGAAAGAAGAGCTGCCTAGCAAACTGTGAAAATGGACGGAGATTGAGATTAAAAGCAAAAGTAGAAAGAACTGTGTGTAAGCACCGGACTGTAGTTGAAGTACTTTCTTGTGATACCAGTGTTATCAATTCCAATATTGCTAACTGTATATAAGGCAAATGATCAATTAAACAGAGGGTTGGTATGGAGCCAGGTTTCCCTTCCTTGTTACAGCGAGTTTATCTAAGCAGGGGAGAAACTAGTATGATATACTATTATAATTCTATCAATGTGAATTCATGTTGACTTAATATAGATGCACACAGTTAAGCAGAAATATGGATTCCTTTATAGAAATCTGGAGAACTATGTAATACCAGGAAGTAGAGACTTCTTTTTAAAGTCTCATGGATAGGAGTATGTCAAAGAGACCCAGAAACCATGCTATAAGAATTTGAGCATCTAAATAAGTATAATTGGATTACAACTCAAAGAATAAATAACTAACCAAGAGTACAGACCAATGTAAGTTAACAAGTGAGTAAATAAGTGAAGGGAAGAGAAATCTCCCATATAGAAAAATTACCAAAGATATATGTTTATAGATAGACACCCCGTCTTAAGGAGGAAAGGGAACATAAGTCTCTACCCCTTAAATATAGGCTGAGATCAGGGACTTTCCAAGTCTGCCAGATAGAGAAGAGACCAGGAATTTAGCAATGGAAAACCTGACAAATCCTATCTCAGCCAGTGATCAAGATGAGTATCAACCGTGATAACTGTGCTGATAGTGTGTACTCATGACATATGATGAAGACAGAACTTCACCCTGTCCTCTTCCAGCCCAAAGCCCACTACCTCAGTCCTTCCATTCTGTTTTGTGCCAGGGGCTCATTCTACAGCCTGAGTGGGGCTGGAACTCACCATCTTTCTGCCTGAGATCCCCCAGTCCTGGAATCACGGTGTACAACCATCATCACACACTAGGCCATAATGAAAGTCTAACCATGGGAAAAACAAGAGATAAACTAGAAGGGGAAAGCATGCTACAAAATCCAGGACTCCTCACAACTGTCAACCCCATCGAAAACAAGGAAACTGTGAGAAATGATCAGAGCCAATAGGAGCCTTAGAGCTGTGACAACTAAATGTAACATGGTATTCTGAATAGTAGGATCATGGGATGGAAAACAGGCATCAGCTAAAAACTAGGGAGGGGCCGGGGTATGGCTCAGTGGTGGAGTTTATGTGCATGAGACCCTGGCTGGGTTCAATTGCCACCTCCAACAAAAAAACAAACAAACAAGGACATACAACCAAAATAAGTATGAGCTATAACTAAAATCCTACACCAATAATGATTCCTTGATTGCAGTCAATATTAATTAATACTGGGGAGAGGTTGCTAGAGTTCTGTACAGGAAATCCCTGTACTGTATCTGTATCCCTTTTTTGTAATATAAAACTGTTCCTAAAAACTACAATCTACTTTTTAAATTCTTTTTTCCATTTGTGGTAGGTGTGTGTGTGTGTGTGTGTGTGTGTGTGTGTGTGTGCTTGTGTTTGCCGTTGACCCTGGAGCTTGCCGTTTGCCGTTTTGGCTAGACCATCTGGCCAGTAAGTCCCTGGGCTCCGCCCCTCTCCCCCCAGCTTGGGAACTGCAGAGGCATGCCCAGCTTTTCATGTGGGTGTTGGGAATCTGGACTCATGCTTGAACAGCAAGCACTTTACCCGCTGAGTCTGTGTCCCCAGGCCCTACAGTCTACTTTTCTAAAATCCCATTTGGAACTGTGTCTGGGAAAGACTGAAGATACTATAGCTCAGACCTGAAGACTCCCCCGCTTTCTTCTACATACTCAATTCACAGTGTTTGCTATGACTCCACTGGAGTGCTTTTTAAGAAAAAAAATTTTCAGTTCCTCACAGCTGCAAACAATTTTGTGCAGTAATTCCCAGCAGGGATACACTGTATAGCCAAAGTACTATAGTTCCATTTTTCCCCTCTGATAGCCCCACAGATGTCTGAAAGTTTGTGAGCTATTCTTAACCTTGGGTGTCTTGTGGGGAGACAAATAACTACCAAATATATCTAATACAACTTAGAAAAGGTTGACCTAAAGTTTACAGAAAAAAAATCAGTGCTAAAGCACATCCAATAAAACTTCAAGAAAGTCAAGAACTTGAAATCTGGATATTATAGTTTCCTATTCAAACCTGGATAGACTGAGCTGTTTTAGGATGAGAACGGGTATATGAAGAGGAGATTTGGGGGGAATAAAAAGGAGTGGGAGAAAGGATGTTGAGTACAGAGGAAAAGAAAAGGATTAAGTTTGAAACATTCCATGAAAACACTGGAAGCTAGGAGTGACCATCCTGTCATAAAGTAGCAAATCCTGGTGGCTGGAGAGACCAAGCGTTGAGAAAAACTTGGAATCAGGAAAAGGCAGGATGTGCAAACAAAATGGATCTTTACCTTGGATCATAAATAAGCGAAATGTTCAAAGGTAAACACTAGCTTCCTGGTAGGGAAATTTTAAAATGATCCTAAAAACAGATTCACTAAAAGTATTCCCCACTATTAATGAAAGGCTAAAAATTGCTAATTTGGATGACACTCAGTGACTTTGGGAAATGAAATAAACGTTACAAAATGGGCATCTCAAAGACTGTGAGCAAAACTTGTCTCAGAATTCTAGGATTTAAAGCACATTTTCCTTCCCTTTTTTTCTGCTATGAAGTAACTCGTGCGATTTTTACAGTCTTAATCTAGGAATTCTTCAAGAATTGTGTTCTATGGACACCTACTGCACTGTGACACATTCTAACCAACCCTTTATGTGGCAAGTCTATAGCTGTTTTAACTTTGAGATTGTGTGAACCCATCAGCCAAAAATTTCCCACACCAGCGATTTAAGAACTATAACAGTATGCCCAGAAAATTCCAAATCCAATTTAAAAAAATTAAAAAACTGAAAGAAATCTCCCCTAGGTGAGGCAAGATGTCAATGACTTTAATTTCCATAGATTCACTACGTTATGATCTACAATTCTACGCAGTTAGGAGCACAGCTTTCCAAAACCAGGGAGCTATAGAACGGCATCCTCTCCATTAGAAAACAGTGTGCTTTAATAAAGTAGCCTCCCGGGAATCCTCCCATCTCCTCCCAAATGGCAAAGCCAGAAATCAAACAACTCACACACTCCGAAACCAAGTTGTATCTGGACGCAGCCTGCAGTGTTTTGTTATCATTTGAAGCAAGAAGTGAAACCTTTAAAAGAAAACTATCATATTTTCACTGAAACATGTGCTCAGGGAAGATTCCTATTCCTTTTGCCTCGCCGCTCCAGAAGTCTACGGATTTGAAATCCTAACACCAAGGCGTCCTGCCCGGTGAGGAGGCGTCTGCCAGCAGAGGAGGTACTAGAGGCAGAGGAGGATTTGAGCAGCATGGCGCGAGAACGCTCGGTGCAAAGACTTTGCGGGCGTGTAGCCATTGAAAGGAGGAGGGGAAAGAGGGAATCAGGGAACGAGTAACGTCTCTCCATGGGTGTGGAGCCCTCCAACCCCCCCAAGACAGCGATGGGAGAGGCCATCTTCCCAAAAGTAAAATGGTGTTGGGAAAGTGATCGAGCTCAGAAAGTCAACAATTAGGAATTGACAACTATGCAAACACCGTGAGCCACCTTAACTGGAAAGGGCACAGGGCGGTGGGTTCCTATTCCTATGGGTCCCTTTGGAGGTCCTCACTTGGTTCCTGATGAGAGGCGCTCTGAAAGCCCCAAGTCCGAGACAATAAACCGTGATCGAAGTCCGGGTGTGCCAAGCTCAGGTGTGTCCGCAGACACCCAGGTGAGTGGAGTGTCTCGCGGACCTGGCGAGCATCCGCGCCCACCCGGGATACAGCAGGGCACGGCGGGCGCGGGGCTCGGGGGCTCCGGGGCGCGCGCGGGGCAGGCGCGGGGACGCGCTGGGGAGGCAGCGCCCGCGCACACCTGGCCGCCGACACCAGTTGCAAGCGGTCCAAGTGGACCCCGGCGGGCGCGGCGCCTGGCACCGCTCGGGTCGCGGCACAGAAAGGCGCTTTCGGAAAAGCGATCCGGAGTCCGAGTCGCCGGATCCCACCCGGGGACCCGCACCGATGCCCGCGGGGCTCTTACCTCGGATCCGCCCTCCCAGACACCGCTCTCCCCGCAGGGTGCCGCGACCTCCCCAAAACGAGATGGGAGGCGACGGAGGAGGGGGATCGCGGGCTGCAGCGCGCCCTCCGGGTCGCAGGCGAGCCACGGGCCGCGCCCGCAGCAGACGACCGTCCGGGGTTGCACAGCGCCCGCCCGGCGCCGCCTGGGCAGTCTGCGCGGGCAGCTCGCTCGCGGCCAGAGCCAAGCGCGCGCTGCGCATGCCCAGCAGCTAGCTGGGAGCGCGCCTCGCAGAAAGGCCAGGAGAGGGCTCGCTCTCCTCTGTCTTGCAAGCAGTGGAGTCTCGGGTAGAGTCCCCGGGCACAGGTGTAGATCCCTGGAATGCCCGGGGCAAGATGAGCGCGACACCACGCAGGGGAGGAGCTGGGGAGCGGTGCCAGCCAGGGGACCCCAGGCAGCGATCCCAGGGCACCCAGAATTCGACCGGTTTCCAGAAGTGCCCTAGCAGGACAGACTGGCATCCTCAAGAGCATTGCCCCTGGCAAGGGTGATGCCCCCAGAGGAGGGAGCGCTCCAGGGACTGCGACCCTGGTCCCGCTCCACAACTGTCAGTGACTCCAACACTCTGGCGGATTAGTCTTTCCCAGTTGCCAGCAGGGTGCCTGCCTTCCCCTGGACTCCTACCTGTGTGACTTGGTTGCTTCCCTCTTTTCTATACCCTCAACTCCTGGGATGTGCTGGTGGTACCCAAGGGCCTGCATTGGGCCCAGAGCGGCTCCAAATCCTGAGGTCCCTGGCTGCAGCCAGCAAGCCCAGACCCGCCTCACAAGGCGCCTTGAATACTATTTTTCATGTGAGTTCTTGCCAGGAGTCTGGTGAAGTTTCAAGTAGTGGAGGCTCTTTCTTTGCCTCTAGCACAGTAGTCAACCCTCATTACTCCAATTCTTTCTGCCTGAGAATCTGCTGGCCTCCTCTCACAAACATGCATTTCTTTCCTTTACAACATTTCAGTTCTCATAGATACACTTCCAAATACCCTAACCCTTCTAACTTCCAAGTCACCTGACTTCCAGAGGCCAAAATGACTATAAACCTTAAAATGAATTGCCTTTATTATGGCTTCTTAGCACACTAGGGAAGTGCTGTTCTGTATTGTCCTTCTTTTTACTAATTGTGATGTCAGAATTAAAATCCAGGTCCACCTACTCCAAAGCCTACATCATGTGATTTATGAATCAATTTCCTTAAAAGTATACCCTGGCCAGGTATCCTTAGGGTTTATACAAAATTCATCTTATTCTTTATAGATAATGCAAGCCTTGAAATAGTAGAAGCAAATAAGCCGGGAGTGGTGGTGCACAACTTTAATGCCAGCACTCGGGAGGCAGAGGCAGGCAGATCTCTGTGAGTTCAAGGCCAGCCTGGTCTACATAGTGAGTTCCAGGGCAGCTTGGGCTACAGGGAGACTCTGCCTCAAAAAGACCAAAAAAAAAAAAAAAGAAGCAAATTATTAAATAACCAACAGATGTTCAGATACAAATTTTTCTCCTTTTACTCTTCCTCAAATAACCAGTGACCCATCAAAACTACTCCTTACCCTGTGCAGTGGTTGAATGAGAATGTCCCCCACAGGCTCCAAATATTTGAATACTTGGTCCCCATTTGGTATTGCTGTTTGGGGAGGTCATGGAACCTTTAGGAGGTGTGGCTGTGCTAAAGGAAGCACATCACTGGTGGGGGGTCGTGAAAGTAAATAGCCCACTTCCTGGGCCTGCCTGAAGATCTGACCCCTTACCTCTCTGTTTCCTCTGCCTCCTGTGGCCATGCCTCTCCACCATGATGGATTTTTATCCCTCTGAAACCCTAAACCCAATAAACTCTTCCTTCTATAAAGTTACCTTGGTTATGGTGTTTTATCACAGCAAAGGTAACTAATACACCCTGCATTAAATATGCTTTGATTTTTCATTCTGTCTCTTAAAATGTGCACTCACATACAAAATATTACAACATTCAATACAGTAGGTGGGGAACTGAGTCATCAAATGATCATTGGCCTCTTTGATGCAAGCAACCCTTCCAGGGAGACATCCCAAGCCTTTTGGCTAGCTGACTGCCTAGAGTCAAACAGAACAGGTCTCTGAAATTAAATCATGTCTTCTACCTTAACACAGGTTATAATTCTGTGGGGGGTTTTGTAATTTTTTATTTATTTATTTAATGTGTATGAGTGTTAGGCCTGTATGTGTAAGTGCAACTGTGTCATGCAGTGCCCATGGAGGCCAGAAGAGGGCATTAGATCCCTCGGAACTGGAGTTACCCAAGGTTATTAGCCACCATTTGGGTGCTGGGATTTGAACCCGGATTTCTGCAAGAACAGCCAGTACTCTAAACCACTGAGCCATCTCTCCAGCCTAGTGTAATTCTATATGTTTAAACCATAAATTTTTTCCTCAAATTTTCATCTTGTTTTAGGGCAAATTTTCAGATAAATATTAGTGACCACTGTAACTTCTTTAAATTTGATTAATAACTTTTGGTCTCCATTTAAGTAATCTTGTTTCTAATTTTGCTAAGAATCTATGTCAAATTTACCTGTTTAATTTTTATTACATTTTTATTCATTTATTCTATGTGGGGGTGTATGTCTATAGATACACACGTGCCATGGCACATTTGTCGAGGTCAGAGGATTATTGATTCTCTCCTTCCACCATGTGGGTCCCAGAAACAAATCACATCAATCCAAATGTAACTGTTTATAGTGCTAGTATATGCAGTCTTTTCCTGTTTGAAAATCTCACTTTGTTACTAGGCATCTTGGCACATTACTATAATCACAAGCACTGAGAAGACAGAGGCAGGATGATCAGGAGTTCAAAGCCATCCTTGACTAGATGGCAAGTTCAAGGCTAGCCTGGGCTACATGAGACCATGTCTGAAAAAATAAAAAAAGAAAGAAAGAGAGAAAGAAAGAGAAAGAAAGAAAAAAGAAAGAAAAACCTCATATGTTGATGTTGGCATTTGGAACCAAAGTGATGTAAAACAGAATAAACCTAAATATATGGAGTATATGGGCATCCAAAATGTGGATCAAAGCATAAAACTGAGGGAGGGATTGAACCTACAGTTGGGTATAAAAGCTACATAGAGAAAATTGTGTTGGGATACTTCAAAATAGCTAGAAGGGGGGATTTTGAATGTTCTCATCACAAAGATATGATAAATGCTTGAATGGCCACATAAAATATACATTGGGGTTGAAGCAAGAGCTCATGGTTAACAGTACTTGGTACTCTTTCAGAGGACCAGAGTTCAGTTCCCAGAAGTCCAGAGTTCAGTACCCAGCACCCACACTGGTCATCTTACAACATCTTGTATGTCCAGTTCCAGGGATCCAAAGTCCTTTTTTCTGCCTCCACAGACAACTAAATATAATAAAATATATATACACAGAGACACATAAATAAAATAGATCTTTAATATATGTCTTAGTTTGTTCTTCATTGCTGTGACAAAACACTCTGACCACTACCAACTTGGGGAGGAAAGGGTTTATTTATCTTGCATCTCCCGGGTCACAGTTCATCAGGGAGCCCAAGGTAGGAACTCAGGGCAGGAACCTGGAGGCAGGAGCTGGACCACAGGCCATGGAGGAACGCTGCTTACTGGCTTGCTCCCTTAGCCCCTGCTCAGCCTGCTTTCTTATGCAACACAGGCCCACCTGCCCAGGGGTGGCACCACCCACAGTGGGCTGGGCCCTCCCACATCACTCA